TTATTTACGTGTTGTCATTCAGGCGGATTTTTATTGATCTCGTCAACAAAAGTTTCATATTATGATGAAAATCGCAAGTGTCGATCTGTCGAATTACCACACGAATCGGATAATACTGTGTAATTAAACCCATCTATTGCTCTTGTAATTGTTTTTTTTTTCCTGCTAGTTGTTCGAGATTCATTTTACGCGCAGCATCCCGCAATTGCATTTAAACACTCGATTCAATTATTTCGTTCATAATTTTAGAATTGCGGCGATCAATGAAGATGGATCGCGATACCTGATCGGCGACAGTTATGGAACGCTTCATCTGCTAGTAATTCCCGATAAAAAACCTATGTATACATATATTTTAGGCAAGGTAGCTAACGTACTTTTCGGATCATTCTTTGCCAAACGCACGTAGAGATTAAATCGATTTTATATATTTAGATCTCCGTGCCAAGGAGCATCGTCTATTTGGACCATGCCTATGTTTTTTGTTGGGTCGCATTTTGGTGACTCGCAGTTCATAAAGTTACGTTCTGAGCCGAATGAGCAAGGATTATTCTTAGATGTAATTGATAACATCACCAATTTGGCTCCGATACACGATTTTTGCGTGATGAAAATGGAGCGACAAGAACAGGTTCACGTTTATAGAAACATTCGTGTGTTTGAGGAATTAAGTCAAATGTTGATTTTAACTGAAAGCAATTTGAGCAGAGCCAAGTTATTACTTGTTCCGGTGGTATAAGAGACGGATCATTAAGGATTATTCGAAATGGTGTCGGTATCACTGTACAAGCGGACATACAAATGGCCGGGATAACAGGTGTATGGCCTTTGCGTCCACATTACGGCGCTCAGTATGTATTAACGAAAGTTCGATAATTTGCCGAGACTTGATGTAAAATTGAAAACTACACTTGTAAACAGATATGACGATACATTGGTTATATCTTTTATCGGGGAAACACGCGTCCTGAGAATGTTTGACAATACTGAAATCCAGGAAGTCGGAGAATACGCCGTTGGTTTTGATATGAGCCAAGAAACCCTTGCAACAAACAATGTTGTGGGTAATTTACTTGT